AGCTATCAGATTTTGAATAAAAAGGTCTGAATAAAAGTGAGTTGTTTGTTTTTCCTCCTCGAAGGTGACATCCATATTCTCAGAACACATTTAAAAAATAAAAATGGCAGATCTGTCCAATATTTTGTCTAAAGGTTCAGCTGTTCCATAAAAACATCACAATAACAAATGAACAAAAAATATTAATATAATAAATTAAGAATAACTCTGTTCTCTCATATGGTGACATAAAAAGTTGAATTATGTCTCACATTAATAATAAGGCCTCTGTCTTTCTGCCCCGACAGTGGAACCTAGTGGGTGACTCTGCCTGGATGGTTCATATTGCCAAATTCTAATACGAAGATAGTAGTAGAAGAAATTATATTCTTTAGAATGTTTTGTGAATCCAGCCCCTGGTCTCTCCTTCAGCAGTCAGATGTGTGATTTTTCGGATTGATTGAGCTCAAGTTTCCGTTATGAAGATTGCTTTCAAAATCCCAAACACTTTCATCCTGGGAAACACCAAGAGAAAGAAAGGTCTGTGAGCTTGTGATTAAAATCAGGGTCTTCCCTATAGGGCTTAGAAACTTAATAAGATCCCAGTCTATTTCTAGGATAACGATGATATAAGAATAATGATAGTGATAACGTCATCACCATTCTAGCAAAAATTAGTGGCATTATATAGGTTCTTAACAGCTACTACAGCTGGTTTGAGTCTTTGAGGATCTGGTCATTTAGTTTTAGCATTAAATCAGATTTGGTCCATCCATCCATCCATTCTCCAAAGCGCTTGTCCTGTGGTTGGATGCTGGAGCCTATACCTGCGTCTCGAGCCAAAGGCAGATGGTTAGGTCATTTTTCTCTGTAACACTTTAGTTTAGGGACCAATTCTCACTATTAACTAGTTGCTTATTAGCATACATATTACTAGCATATTGGTTTCCCATAATATTTAGACTGTTTAGCCATATTCACTATCAGTTTTGCACACATGGTTTCATTCCATTTCATCTCTGGGTTTCTTCCTGTCAGTGTTGGCATATGTTGGCATGACAACCGATCCACTTCACGGATGGGAAAAGCGTGTTGGGAGCTGAATCTTTTTGTTCAGGAGGAATGGTGCACTCTTTATTACCTGTGATTGTTTCGTCACGGTGCTTGTCTGATGGAGGACATGTTGTTCTTATTTCCTGAGCAGGTGGCTTTGCGTGGGCTCACAGGAAATGAATAAGTGATAAGCAGGAAATATTGAAATCAGTAACAGTGATATTGGATGCCCAAACACCTGAGCATCATGACATGGGAGCTGAATGAGCTTATTTGTTTATTATTATTCATTGTCATTTTATTTACCAATTTATTATAATATTTAAATGTTGTATATTGAATTATGTGCTGTCTTTAAGAGTGTTTGGATGTGATAATGTTATTTGCTCTTTTGTGTGTTCCAATCACTCGATTAAGAAATATTATTATTACCAATTAAAACAATAAGAGGTTTCTGCTGGTGTGTTTCTCCGCAAATGATGCCTGAAGATCATTTTTCATTGTGTTTGGTTTAAGGTGTCCATGCACTAGCTGAATAAATACATCTAAGAAGAATATATTTTTGCAACAAAAAACTTCTTTCCGTTCTTTCTTTCTTTTCTTTCTTTCTTTCTTTCTGTCTGTCTCTCTGTCTCTCTTTTGTTCTTTCTGTCTGTCTCTCTGTCTGTCTTTCTTTCTTTCTGTCTGTCTGTCTTTCTTTCTTTCTGTCTCTCTGTCTGTCTGTCTTTCTTTCTTTCTGTCTTTCTTTCTTTTGTCTGTCTGTCTTTCTTTCTTTCCGTTCTTTGTCTCTCTCTCTGTCTCTCTTTTGTTCTTTCTTTCTGTCTGTCTGTCTGTTTTTCTGTCTCTCTGTCTGTCTGTCTTTCTTTCTTTCCGTTCTTTCTTTCTTTCTTTCCATTCTTTCTTTCTGTCTGTCTCTCTGTCTGTCTTTCTTTCTTTCTGTCTCTCTGTCTGTCTGTCTTTCTTTCTTTCTTTCCGTTCTTTCTTTCTTTCCGTTCTTTCTGTCTGTCTGTCTTTCTTTCTTTCTGTCTCTCTGTCTTTCTTTCTTTCTTTCTTTCTGTCTGTCTGTTTTTCTTTCTTTCTGTCTCTCTGTTTTTCTGTCTCTCTGTCTGTCTGTCTGTCTTTCTTTCTTTTGTCTGTCTGTCTTTCTTTCTTTCTTTCCGTTCTTTGTCTGTCTCTCTTTTGTTCTTTGTTTCTGTCTCTATGTCTGTCTTTCTTTCTTTCTGTCTCTGTCCGTCTTTCTTTTGTCTGTCTTTCTTTCTTTCCATTCTTTCTTTCTTTCTTTCTTTCTTTCTTTCTTTCTTTCTTTCTTTCTTTCTTTCTGTCTGTCTCTCTGTCTGTCTTTGTTTCTGTCTGTCTCTGTCTGTCTGTCTGTCTGTCTGTCTGTCTGTCTGTCTGTCTTTTCTTTCTTTTCTTTTTGTCTTTCTTTTGTTTTCTGTTGTCTGTCTCTCTGTCTGTCTGTCTGTCTGTCTGTCTGTCTTTTCTTTCTTTTCTTTTTGTCTTTCTTTTGTTTTCTGTGTCTTTCTTTCGCCTGTCTTTCTTTATTTTCTTTCTTTCTGTCTTTCTTTCTGTCTCTCTGTCTGTCTTTCTTTCTTTTGTCTGTCTGTCTTTCTTTCTTTCCGTTCTTTCTGTCTGACCTTCTTTTTTCTTTATTTCTTTCTTTCTGTCTTTCTTTCTTTCCGTTCTTTCTTTCTTTCTTTCTTTCTTTCTTTCTTTCCTTTCTTTCTTTCTGTCTGTCTCTCTGTCTCTCTTTTGTTCTTTCTGTCTTTCTTTCTTTCTGTCTCTCTGTCTGTCTTTCTTTCTTTCTTTCTTTCTGTCTGTCTCTCTGTCTGTCTTTGTTTCTGTCTGTCTCTGTCTGTCTGTCTGTCTGTCTGTCTGTCTGTCTGTCTGTCTTTTCTTTCTTTTCTTTTTGTCTTTCTTTCGTTCTCTGTTTGTCTTTCTTTTTTTCTTTCTTTCTTTCTGTCTTTCTTTCTGTCTCTCTGTCTGTCTGTCTGTCTGTCTGTCTGTCTGTCTTTTCTTTCTTTTCTTTTTGTCTTTCTTTCGTTCTCTGTTTGTCTTTCTTTTTTTTCTTTCTTTCTTTCTGTCTCTCTGTCTGTCTTTCTTTCTTTTGTCTTTCTGTCTTTCTTTCTTTTGTCTGTCTGTCTTTCTTTCTTTCTTTCTTTCCGTTCTTTCTTTCTTTCTGTCTGTCCTTCTTTTTTCTTTCTTTCTTTCTTTCTGTCTTTCTTTCTTTCTTTCTTTCTTTCTTTCTTTCTTTCCGTTCTTTCTGTCTGTCCTTCTTTCTTTCTTTCTGTCTTTCTGTCTGTCCTTCTTTCTTTCTTTCTTTCTTTCTTTCTTTCCTGTTTACACAATAAACTATATCTGCCATTTATTTCAACATAAACTCTATTCTCTGGGTCACCCTGTCAATATATAGATTTTGTGATTATCGGCACAATAATCTAGTTATTGCTTTTCCTTAAACATTATTATCATATGAGCAAAATCCAGTATTGGTTGACCTCTCTAATTTGTGTATATTGATGTATTAGACCATGCATAAGCATGTATTTAATAAAACATGTCTTTAGTATTTTAAACTTGTAAAAAAAAGTTAAAAACTTTAAAAAGTTTTAGTTGTTGAATATGTGCTGCAGCCTGTTGAATTAAACAAGTATCCGAGATACATGATTTACTGTATAGTTTTGTTCTGGACATACAGTATGCATTTTATTTGTGTTAAAAAAAGTCTTATATTTTAAACTTTGTGAATGTTTTAATAGTAGTTTTTCAGTACGCTGAAATATACTCATGCAAGCAGTGTGTTTGCCAGTTTAGGTTTTTGTCCTAATGTTGTTAAAGAAGCTTTATTCTTGATTGGCTTGCCTGATTAAATAACGGTGAAACTGCTGATTAGCTGTTTGTGTGTGACTAGTTAATGTTTGTGGGTAAGGTTGGCAGCTGACATTGATCTGAAAGCATGAGTGATACTGAAGCATGTGATGGGTGCGGCGCAATCATCACACAATAGAGGAAACAGATCCTGGGCTAGTTTCAGGGGAAACCCAGTAAACCCAAGTGCTCATTCAGAAACCCTGATTAGAATACATTATAACACAATACAGCTAGTAGATTCTATTATGTTCCTTTAGAAAATGTGATGTATAATTCATTGCGCCTATCTGTTTTATATCTTAGAATGTCCTGCCCTGAAAGTGTTTGTTCAGCATAATAGATTGCATAATAGATTTTTTTGTGTTTGTGCTCTGATAGCACATTTAAAGTGCAAAAAGTGCGGATTTTACAGAGTTTGACCTATAGAGTTTTGATAGCCAGTGGTTTTCAGATAGAAAACGGGAAGCATGATTTATGAGCATTTATGTGAACACTTACTGGACTAAACAAACTTTACCTGGTTATAAGTCATTTTTAGAAATATCATGTTCAAATGTCTTAAATATGATCATCAGGCTTTTGAGGAATGATTATTTATTAATCTCTCAGTCACTTTATTGCATTGGATTATATGTTTTGAAACTACTGAGCTTTGATCAAACTAAGCATTGAAATATCATCTTACTAAGACATAATATTAGGATAAAGTGACGATTGATACTTATATGTATATATATATATATATATATATATAATATATATATATATATAATGTATTCTGTTATAAAAGCTCATTAATTTACATAATTTACAAGCTATCAGATTTTGAATAAAAAGGTCTGAATAAAAGTGAGTTGTTTGTTTTTCCTCCTCGAAGGTGACATCCATATTCTCAGAACACATTTAAAAAATAAAAATGGCAGATCTGTCCAATATTTTGTCTAAAGGTTCAGCTGTTCCATAAAAACATCACAATAACAAATGAACAAAAAATATTAATATAATAAATTAAGAATAACTCTGTTCTCTCATATGGTGACATAAAAAGTTGAATTATGTCTCACATTAATAATAAGGCCTCTGTCTTTCTGCCCCGACAGTGGAACCTAGTGGGTGACTCTGCCTGGATGGTTCATATTGCCAAATTCTCTCTGTTGGTGGGCTCCATCTTTGGATACTTGGTGTTGGGAGTTCTGGCAGATTGGTGAGTATATGTCTAGAAATTTTCCCACATTACTGAATCAATACTAACCATGTCACTGATTTGTAATTATGTTTCAACCATGAGATGCTGACTTTGTGCTCCCTCTGAGGAAATGCAAAAGTGTGTATGTCAGGCCATAAATCCACAAGAACTCTGCACAGATGTTTGCTTCGTAGTCCCTCTTATGAATCATTTTCTGGATCCGAACCCTGCTGTGAATGTCTGTGTTAGCTTGAGATCTGGAAAAGTCTTTTCAAGGACTTGGTATGGATCAAATCCTATGATCGACATTTGTGTGTGTGTGTGTGTGTGTGTGTGTGTGTGTGTGTGTGTGTGTGTGTTTGTATTCATCAGCATTACTTTATCCCACTGATGGTCATAAATATGGTTGATGTCATGTCTGTGAACAACTAGATGTTTGAGTAAAACATTAACATGCCCTCTATAGCTTTCAACATGTGCATTACTCCGTCGCAGGAAGCCATACTAGCAATTCATGACCCCTGGCCTAATCTATTCGATGGATGTAACATGAAACCCATAAAGTGACAGATAATTGACACAGTGTGTGTGTGTGTGTGTGTGTGTGTGTGTGTGTGTGTGTGTGTGTGTGTGTGTGTG